CAGAACATTTCAGTTTTTAAACATTTAGAAAAAGAATGAAGTGAACATTTTAGAACCGCAAAATTCAGTGTCTGACCTGACTCAAAGAATTGACTCACTGGAAAGGACCCTGATGCTGGGAAAGATTGAAGGCAGGAGAAGAGGATGACAGAGGATGAGATGGTTGATTGGCATCACCAACTTGACGGACATGAGTTTGAGCAAGTTCAGGGAGTTGATGTTGGACAGGGAAGCTTGGCGTGCTGTGGTCCATGGGATGGCAAAGATTCGGACACGACTGAGTGGCTGAACTGAACTGGGGTGGATTTGAAAGTATACTAGCAGAAATTCCCTGGTGGTCCAGTAGTTGGGACTCCATACTTCCACTGCAGGAGGCACAGGTTCAATCCCTGGTCAGGGAACTAGGATCCTGCAAGCCTCATGGCCAAATAAGTAAATAAATGAAGGCATACTAGCAACACATCCTTTTCACAGGGAACTATATTCAATATCCTATAATAAAATGTACTGGAAAAGAATATGAAAAAGAATATATATATGAAACAGTCACTTTCTTGGAAGTTGGAATTTACCCCACCGTTTTAATTCTTTTTTCTTTAAGAAAACTAAAAAAATTCCATACCTTAGAAATCAGTCAAACGACTGAAAAACAAAGAAAAGCAGGTTTCACATAACATGGCCTCCCATTACCTTCCTGATCTTATCTCTTTCAACTCTCCAACTTAATAACTCCCTCCTCGCTGTTCCTTAAACACACCTGGCACAGCCTTGCTTTAGAGGCTCCGCAGTGGCTGTTTCTTCTGCCTGGAACATTCGTCACCAACATGTTTCTCTAGGCACCTTATTTAAAAAGCAACACTTCCATCCACTTGTGCACCCTCACTCCCACCCCATCTGTGCCCTTAGACTTCCAATCACCCTACCATGCCTTTCTTCCATAGAACTTTTCACCTTCTAACATTCTGCATTTGGTATTTATATACATATATATGGACTATATATATAACTCTTTTGAAGAACGTAGGCAAACAACCAAATTGACATCTTCATTACTAATTACTTATTATTTCATTTCCAATTAATAATTACTAGTTCATTACTAATACATATATATATATAAATCACAGTAGCAATAATAATATCAGTTGTTTAGTGCCCTCCTAGTTGGCACAGAAAGATTAATTAATTGGTATCAAGTCATACAGCTACAGTAAGTGGCAGAGCCAGGATTTAGATCCATACTGAGTTCCAAGAAAAATCATTTTTAGATAATAAAGGATAATACCTAAAGATATGCAAATGAACTAAATGTAACAATGAAATCTCGGTCTGTTGAAAAAAATAAAACTTCTCCCAACATTAAAGAATGAAATGCAGATATCAGTATATGTCACTAGGTGAGGCTCTTTGTTAAACTTCTCTCTCAGAAAGGTAATCTGAGGAATTATAACTTACTCAGATGGGAAAGAATTTATGCTAGGTCTAATAATAATTAAGTTGGCTCTTTAACCACAAAAGTTACACAGCTCGGAAAACAATTTACAAACCAAATGGTAAGCCACACAAATTTATGGTAGAAAAAATTTGTAGACTGTAAACTTAAAGGCTTCTATATCACAAACATGAGATATCCCTTCATTTATTTTTATCTTTTCCCATTTATGTCTCCATTTAATTTTAATGTCTTGATAAGATTTTAATTTTTGTCAACAGAGTTCTTGAATGATTTTAAAATGTATTCCTTAGTAACAATAGTTTTGATACCACTGAAATGTCCTCTGTATCTTTATTTTTTTATGCTAAAATATTTTAAAGTAAATTGACCATACACCCTTTAATATTTCAATATGTATTTCTCAAATAACATTATCATGCTTTACCATTAATTAAATGATTCCTTAATATCATTTATTATCCAAAAGTCAATAGTCAATAAACTAAGGCCTTTAATAAACTTTGAGACTAAAGTCAAAACAATTGACTAAGGGCGCTCAAGCTTATTAGTAATTAGAGAAATAGAAATTAATAAGATGAAGGCATACGTTGCACACCCATCAAATTGACAGAAATGTTAACAGTATGATACCAAGTGTTGGAAAGGATGCAGAGCACAGGAACTCTAATACATTGCTACAGGAAAGGGAGGTAATAATCCTTCTGGAAAGATAGCATGACATAGCATACGTAATAGTGAAGATGCATATATACCTGATGTCCTCTACCACTGCTAGATATACCTAACAGAAAATGTAGTGTGAAATGAAAATATTTCCTGTCATATTAATCAATAAGAAATGTCACAGCCATCAGTGGTTTCTGGCCTCCAAAAGTGAATGCGGGAGCCCCAAGCTGTGATCAGGAGGAAGATGCCACCTCCCACGGTGATTGCTGAGGAGCTGGGGGAATGCAAGAAGCAAGGTGAACTAGGAAACGGGATTGGCCCCAGGTATCTGAGGTGCATATGAAAGGAATGAATTCAGTGAGCCCAGAGGCTTGCACCTCTCCAGAGAATGCTAAATTCTTTAACTTGCTACCTGATCTTTGATGTTCAGACTATCTGCTCCCTTTGTCACAAACTTGTATATAACCTGACTTCCCTCCGGCCTCCTTGGACCAGTTTTCTCAGAGCTACTGAGATGCTGTCTCCCAGGCTTGGAGTCTTAAACATTCCCACCAAATAAAATAACTCTCTATTTTCAGGTTGTGACTATATTTTTTTAGTTGACAGTAGTGAGAAACAAGTATACCAAGAAACATTTCAATCTTCTATTACATACTTAACAAAAAATGTACCAAGAAATAAGACATTTATACCAAGAAACACTTAGTATTGTTTGTAATAAGACAATTTTTAAATAACTCAAATGTCCCTCATTATTAGAGGGGGTAAATTGTGGTATGTAAATACAATAGAAAAAACACTAATGTAAAACTAACAAATTAGAACTTCTGCAACAACATGGATCAATCTCACAAATTTCATAATGAAATAAGAACAGACACAAACTAACAGGCATAGGATAAGTCTGTTCACATAAAAGTTCAAAACCAGTGTCTGACACTTACTTTCAACTGTTTCAGAAAATAAAAAATATATCCACATATATCTATACAAATATAAAGAAAGTGTGGAAAATGTTAACTGTGAATCTAAGTGAAGAGTATACAATGGTTCATTGTACTACACTGCTACTCTTTAGGTTTGTGCATTTTCAAAGTAGAAAGTTGATTTTTCTTTATAAGTATTTATTAAACTATACATATTTTATGCATTTTTTCTGTAGGTAAATTTCACAAGAGAAAAACATAAAAATAATGTAATAAAATACATAAAAACACTTTCAAAGAAAAATTGCTATGCATTTGTTAAACAGTGACAGGCTTTATTTTCTTGGGCGCCAAAATCACTGCAGATGGTGACTACTGCCATGAAATTAAAATACGCTTGCTCCTTGGAAGAAAAGCCATGACCAACCTAGACAGCATATTAAAAAGCAGAGACATTACTTTGCTGACAAAGGTCCTCTAGTCAAAGCTATGGTTTTTCCAGTAGTCATGTATGGATGTGAGAATTGGACTATAAAGAAAGCTGAGTGCCAAAGAACTGATGATTTTGAACAGTGGTGTTGGAGAACTCTTTAGTGTCCTTTGGACAGCAAGGAGATCAAACCAGTCCATCCTGAAGGAAATCAGTCCTGAATATTTGCTGGAAGGACTGATGCTGAGTCTGAAGCTCCCAATACTTTGGCCACCTGATGTGAAGAACTGACTTATTGGAAAAGACCCTGATGCTGGGAAAGATTGAAGATGGGAGAAGGGGACAACAGAGGATGAGATGGTTGGATAGCATCAACGACTTGATGGACCTGAATTTGAGCAAGCTCTGGGAGTTGGTGATGGACAGGGAAGCCTGGTTTGCCACTGGTCAGACACAAATGCAAAGAGTTTGCTGCAAAGAGTCGGACATGACTGAGCGACTGAATTGATTTGTTAAACATTACTATTAAAAGTAATAAACTTTTTGCTTTATAATAAGCAAGATTAAGCAAGAGGGCTTTTTTAAATTTGGGACATTTACCTGAAATCAGACTATCAAAAGATACCTCCAAAAGATACCTCCTTAAGACCAGTTTTTGAGGCTAGCAACATAAGAATGTCATTTTATTTTTCCATGATATAGTTCTTATACAACCATCAATTCTGAATCTTGTTTAGTTTGATACTAGATAGTGTATTCTTCTAAATAATTTTCATAAACTGCAATATGATACTCCAATACTCATTTTGGCAGATATACTAGCATATGCTACTTTAAAATATATTATAAGAAACCTCTGGATGAAGGTTTTATCATTATTCAAATATCATACACAATTCATACTGTATGTGTATTTTCTATAGGTTTTTCCAATATTCTTACTAGGATTCCACAGTTCGTTTTTTTTTAAACCCTCAAAGTCTCAGATGGTAAAGAATATGCCTGCAATGCAGGAGACCAATTTTTGTTCCCTGGGTTGGGAAGATTCCCGTGGAGGAGGAAATGGCAATCTGCTCCAGTATTCTTGCCTGGAGAATCGAAGGACAGAGGAGCCTGGTGGGCTACAGTCCACTGGGGTCACAAAGAGCTGGACACGACTGAGCGACTTACCACTACCACGTCTCTCAAAGATGTTCCGAGGGCTTTCCTGGTGGCTCAGTGGTAAAGAATCTGCTTTCCAAGGCAGGAGACAAGGGTTTGATCCCTGGTCTGGGAAGATCCCACATGCTGGGGAGCAACTGAGTCCATGAGCCACAACTACTGAGCCTGTGCTCTAGGGCCCACAGGCTACAACGACCGAAGCTCATGCACCACGAGAGGAGCTACTGCAATGAGAAGCTGAGCACCGCAACTAGAGAAAAGCCCCCACTCGTCGCACCAGAGAGAAGTCCGTGCAACAACAAAGACCCAGCACAGCCAGAAATAAAGAGTGAAAAAAAAATTTATAAAAGGATGGTCAGAATTTCATGTTTTAAAACTGAATTTTAATATAGTTATATTAATTGTCTTCTTCGGTATCATCTAAATCAATATCAAAATCTAAATCATCATCATTTTCTTCATTCCTTCTGCAGCTTCTTCTATTGCTGGAACGTGAATTATTTTCAACATTTTCTGTCTTTTCTGGCTCTTTATTAAACCTAAAGATGGAAGAAAAAAACTCTTATTTCTCAAGATTGCATTGTTTGCATAGACTGAAAAGACTTTTACACTACACTTCTTGATTAATAAGAGCTTAATGAAATAAAGAGGAAAAGATCCTTGAAGATTAATTTAATTGAAGAGCCAACCAATTATAATACTGCTGTCAATAAAGCATGATCAAACAAATTAATCCATGCTGTCCATTAAAGAAAACAAAGCTATACAATGAATAATTCTTTTGTAATGTATAATAAACATGACTCTCACAGATAAATATAAAATGATGTTTTGCTTTTATTATAATGACAGAAACACTGAATAATTCATTAAGGTGTTTTTTCCTATTGGGTAGAAAAAGTCTACATTACTGTGGTATACTGTATCTTAAGATTCTCAGAGCTACTCAATGTTTCCTTAAAAGAAAATTCACATACCATTTACTAAAAGAGTAAATCCCAAACATAAAAAGAAATACTCACGGAATAACAACATCTTCTCTCTTTCCACACTTGGCACAAACTTCAAGTTCACAGGCACATGGTCTACACATTATATGATAAGAATCCTTCACTGTCTTTTGTAAACATTTAACACTAAAAATGGAAAAGAAAATCAAATCTTAATTTTTACTAATTGTCTAAGATTTATTTAGTGAAATAAGGAGGTGTGTCTAAGTATATAGCTGAGAAGCCTCAAACTCTTAGATATTTCTCCCATATGTCACTTTAGATTAATTATAGAGCATTTCTAGACAATGGTTGACAGCTCAAAATAATAGTACTTAACATTTATCTACTTTCTTAAAGCTTGTAAAGAATGTCACCTGCAATATTAACAATTTTACTTCCTTTTCAATTTGGATTCCTTTTATTTCTTTTTGTTCTCTGACCTCCCTGGCTAGTACTTCCAACACTATGTTGAATAAAAGTGGCGACAGGGGACATCCTTGTCTTGTTCCTGATCTTAAAAAAAAAGCTTTCACAAAAATAAACAAATGGGACTTAACGAAACTTAAAAGCTTTTGTACAACAAAGGAAACTATAAGCAAGGTGAAAAGACAGCCCTCAGATTGGGAGAAAATAATAGCAAACGAAGCAACAGACAAAGGATTAATCTCAAAAATATACAAGCAACTCCTCCAGCTCAACTCCAGAAAAATAAATGACCCAATCAAAAAATGGGCCAAAGAACTAAACAGACATTTCTCCAAGGAAGACATACAGATGGCTAACAAACACATGAAAAGATGCTCAACATCACTCATTATCAGAGAAATGCAAATCAAAACCACAATGAGGTACCATTACACGCCAGTCAGGATGGCTGCTATCCAAAAGTCTACAAGCAATAAATGCTGGAGAGGGTGTGGAGAAAAGGGAACCCTCTTACACTGTTGGTGGGAATGCAAATTAGTACAGCCACTATGGAAAACAGTGTGGAGATTTCTTAAAAAGCTGGAAATAGAACTGCCATATGACCCAGCAATCCCACTTCTGGGCATACACACCGAGGAAACCAGATCTGAAAGAGACACGTGCACCCCAATGTTCATCGCAGCACTGTTTATAATAGCCAGGACATGGAAGCAACCTAGATGCCCATCAGCAGACGAATGGATGAGGAAGCTGTGGTACATATACACCATGGAATATTACTCAGCCATTAAAAAGAATTCATTTGAATCAGTTCTAATGAGATGGATGAAACTGGAGCCCATTATACAGAGTGAAGTAAGCCAGAAAGATAAAGACCATTACAGTATACTAACACATATATATGGAATTTAGAAAGATGGTAACGATAACCCTATATGCAAAACAGAAAAAGAGACACAGATGTATAGAACAGACTTTTGGACTCTGTGGGAGAAGGCGAGGGTGGGATGTTTCAAGAGAACAGCATCGAAACATGTATATTATCTAGGGTGAAACAGATCACCAGCCCAGGTTGGATGCATGAGACAAGTGCTTGGGCCTGGTGCACTGGGAAGACTCAGAGGGATTGGGTAGAAAGGGAGGTGGGAGGGGGGATCGGGATGGCGAATACATGTAAATCCATGGCTAATTCATGTCAATGTATGACAAAAACCACTACAATATTGTAAAGTAATTAGCCTCCAACTAATAAAAATAAATGAAAAAAAATAAATAAATAAAAATTTTTAAAAAAAGCTTTCAGTTTTCACAACTGAGTATAATATTAGCTGTTAACTTGTCATATGTGGTGTTTATTATGCTGAGAAACTTTCCATATATATTCACTCTGTTGTGAGTTTTTATCATATCACTGTGTAAAATGATTTTTCTGGATCTACTGAGAAGGTCATATGATTTTTACCCTTCATTTTATTAATGTGGCATATCATATTGATTGATTTGAGGAATCTGAACCATCTTTGCATTCCTGGAATAAACTACACACTTGATCATGGTGAATGATTTTTTTAATGTATTGTTAAATTTAGTTAACTAATATTTTGTTAAGGATTTCTGCTAATATTTTGTTGAGAATTGCTGCATCTATATTCATCAGGGATAATGGAATGTAATTTTCATTTCTTGTGGCATCGTTGTCTGGTTTGGTATCAGAGTAATGCTGACCCCATAAAATGAGCTTGGAAGAATTTCCTCCTCTTCTATTTTTTGGAAGAGTTTGAGAAGGCCTGGATCATTTCTTCTTTGAATATTTGGTAGAATTTACCAGTGAAGAAATCTGGTTCTGGACTTTTGTGGGTTAGGAGGCTTTTTATTTAAATTCAATCTCCTTACTAGTAACTGAACTTTCAGATTTTTACTTCATGATTCAGTCTTGGCAGGTTGTGTGTTTCTAGGAATTTATCCACTTCTTACAGGTTGTCAAACTGTGGGCAAACAATTTTCCATGAAAGTGAAACTATTACTTGCTTAATCGTGTCTGACTATTTGCAACCCCATGGACTGTAGCCCACCAGGCTCCTCTGTCCATGGAATTCTCCAGGCAAGAATACTGGAGCGGGTTGCCACTTCCTACTCCAGGGGACCTTCCTGACCAGGGATTGAACCTGCATCTCTTGCATCTCCTGCACTGGCAGGTGGATTCTTTACCACTAGTGCCACCAGGGAAGACCACATGTGAGTGGGTTTATTTCGGGGCTCTCTATTCCATTAATTTATGTGTCTAATTTTTATGACAGTGCCATACTGTTTTGAAACTGTAATATAGTTTGAAATCAGGAAGTGTGACACCTCCAGCTATGTTCTTCTTTCTTAAGATTGCTTTGTCTATTTTGGGCCTTTTGTGGTTCCATCCAAATTTAGGATTTTTTATTTCTGTGAAAAATATCATTGAAATTTGGATGTATGGCCTTTTAGGCAATATTACATGCATGTACACAAAACGTCCCAACCAAAAGCAACAAAATACTCTTCTCAAGTGTCCACGGAATATTCTCCACAAAATATTGTTTGTTAGCTCACAAAACAGGTCTTACAAATTTAAGATTGAAATCATATATATGAAGTATCTTTTTCAAACCACGATAGTATGAAACTGGAAGTTAACTGTAAGAAGAAATCTGGAAAATTCACTAATTTGGGGAGAACAAACAGCATGCTACTGAACAATCAGTGGGTCAAAGAAGAAACCAAAAAGAAATTTAAAAAATACCTTGAGAGAAATGAAAAGGCAACATACCATAATTTACGGGGTACCGCAAAAAATAATTCTGAAAGGGAAGTTCCTAGCAATAAATGCTTACATCAAGAAACAAGGAAAATCTTAAACAACTTAACTTTAACTTCTTAGAAACTAGAAACATAGAAGAGATAAAGTCTAAAGTTAGTAGAAGGAAGGAAATAACAAAGATCGGATTGGAAATAATTATAATAGGAAATGAAAAGACAACAGGCAAGATCAGTGAATTTCAGAACTGGTCATCTGTAAAGATAAACAGGCAAACCTTTAGCTAGAATTATCAAGAAAAGAAAAGAGAACTCAAATCAGAAGTGAAAGAGGAAACACTGCAACAGATACCGCAGAAATACAAAGGATTGTAGGAGACTATGGGGTAACCTGGCTCAGATACTAAAGAATCTGCCTGTAATGCAGGAGACCTGGGTTCGATCCCTGGGTGGGAAGATCCCATGGAGAAGGAAATGACAACCCACTCTACTTCTAAATACATACTCAGAACTGAAAAAACATACACACACAAAAACCTGTACATCAATGTTCATAGCAGCATTAATTGTAACAGTCAAAAAACTGGGAATAACCCAAATGTCCATCAATCGATTAACGGATAAATAAGCATATATATCTTTACAATGGAACATTATTTATTAATAAAAATTAAGCACCGATAAATGTTACAACACGCTTGAAAAAAATTCCTAAGTGAAAGAAACCAGTCACAGAAGTCTAGATATTATATGACTACTTATATGAAATGTCCAAAATAAGTAAATCTACAGGGACAGAAAACAAGGGATGGGAGAATGTTGGTGTGGGGGAGAGGGAATGGAGACTCCTAACGGGTATGAGGTTTCTTTTTGAGATGAGAAAATATTCAAAAACTGATGTGTTATAAAAAAATTGAGTTATACAACTCTGTGACATACTAAAAGTTGCTAAACTATGTACTTTAGATGGATGAACTATACAGTATATGAATTAAACCTTAATAAATCTGTTTTTAAAAGTAAAATGGAAATATTAGAAATAAAAAAAACATGGAGTGTAAGATATANTGACATACTAAAAGTTGCTAAACTATGTACTTTAGATGGATGAACTATACAGTATATGAATTAAACCTTAATAAATCTGTTTTTAAAAGTAAAATGGAAATATTAGAAATAAAAAAAACATGGAGTGTAAGATATAAGATACAAGAAATCTACTTTAAACATAAAAAGGTATACCACATTTTACTTTGCAGCGACTGCATTTATTTATTTACACAAATTGAAGGTTTGTGGCAGCCTTCTGTTGAGCCAGTCTATCGTTATCATTTTTTCCAATATTTGCTCACCTTGTGCCTCTGTGTCACAATTTGGTTACTCTTGCAATATTTCAACTTTTTAATTATTATTATATTTGTTACAATGATCTAAGATGAGTAATCTTTATGTTACAACTGCAAAAAGGCTATGACTCATTGAAGGCTCAGATGATGGTTAGCATTTTCTAGCAATAAAGTATTTTTAAAATAAAGTGCTCACTGATTTTTCTAGACATAATGCTACTGAATACTTAATAGATTAAAGTATCATATAAATGTAAGTTTTATATGCACTGGGAAACCAAAAAATTCATGTGACTCAGTTTATTGCAGTATTTGCTTTACTGAGGTGGCCTGGAATCAAACCCACAGTATCTCTGAGATATGCCTGTATACAGTTAAAAGTAGAAGGAAAGGGAAAAAATGAAACAAAACATGCAAACATTAATCAGAAGAAAGCTGGAGTAAGTACATTATTACTGAAATAGACTTCAAATCAAAGAAAAAGGAATTGTTGAGTTTAAGAAAGATTTATTATATGATAATAAAGGAATCAATTTTCCCAAAGCATGCAATAATCTTAAATATTTATTTATGCACCTAAAAACAGGG